AATAAATAAAAGACTATAAAAATAATCTAAAGCTGGCGTTTTTCTGATGCAGGCCCAAGTAAAAATGCCATAGGGCCTTCAGGTTGCGGTGACGCGACCTGGGGCCCCTATTCCAACCTTGGGTCCCGTGAGGGGCCCGTGTGTAGGCTTTCAGCATGTAACACGCCCCCCTCCTTATGAAGACGAGCCGGGGCGCGGGCGAAGCTGCCGATCCGATGGCGGAATGTAGCGAGGATGGCGAGGAGCTGGAGTGCTCGGCGTAGTCTTCCCTTTGCTAAGATAGCGTGAGAGAACGGCGGGGGCTGTGGCCTGCAGTTCCGAACGCGTCAGCCAAAGGTCAGCCTTTTTTGTGGCTGAAGTTGGAAAAGTGAAGTAGAAACTCTGTTTCTTTGTTGCCATGGCGCCGGTCGGTGATGATGTAGCCGGCCTCCTGAAATCCGTCCATGGAAGGAGGGTCTTGCGTACGTCGACCGGGAAACTCGTCGGACTCCGCTGAAACAAAAGGAGCGAGTTTGGAACAGTGGAACACCGTGTGGACGGGCAAGTGAGGTGGCACCGCGATGCGGAATGAAGGCCCCTCGGGATCATCACCAACTGCAGAGAGAATGCGCCAAGGCCCCATCCGCGGCGGAGACCTAAACCAGATCGCCGGCGCGGAACGGGCAAGGAAGGCGATTGCGGTTGGCTTGACGGCTCATCCGTATTTGCGTCTTTGACATCTGATCCCGTGCCTTGACAAGAAGCTCTTGCATGCGATGAAGGAATGCAAGATGGTCGTCGCTCTCGGCTGTGCGCGGCAAAGTGGCGTCCAGCGGCGATGAGATGGGTGAACCATGCTCAAATTCGAATGGGGACATCCTGATAGCCGGATGGATCGATGAGTTGTAAGCCAACTCAACGTCTGGCAAGCGCTCAACTCAATCAACCTGGTCGGGATGGATGAGAGTGCGTAAAAGGACTTGAGCGGTCTGATGCGCCCTTTCCGTTTGACCATCGGTTTGCGGGTGGCGAGCCGAACTCGGCTTCAAAGATGAGCCCCATCGCTTGACGAGTGCGACCCAAAAGTCGGAGAGAAAGTGAGTGTCCCAGTCGCAAACGATCTCCTTGGGGTAGCCCTTGGAGCGAATCCAACCGGTGTATAAGACCTCGGCTAACTCCGGTGCCTTTGCGTGATAGCGGCAAGGCAAAAACATGGCGTACTTGGTGAGGCGGTCGACGACCGTGAGGATCCCATCAACGCCGGTCTTGTGCTTCGGGAAGGGGCCGGTGATATCCATAGCAATTGCTTCCCGTCGCCCAAGGGGCACTGGTAGTGGGTGTAGCTCGGCGAACGGACGGTGGTTGCGTGACTTGCAACGCCGACAGACTTCGCACGACTCACAATAGCGGGTGGCGTCCTTAAGAAGGTCGGGCCAATAGAACCGCTGGCGAAGTCGGCCAAGTGTACGGTTGACACCAAAATGTCCGGAGGCGTGCGCATCGTGAAACTCGCCAAGAAGCCGTGTGCGCAAGTGTGAATCACTCGACACACAAAGAAGATCCTTTCCCCGTGAATGCACAAGCAAGTAGCCCTCTTGGATCCGATAATGTGAAGGCACCGGATTCGGAGAGGAGCAATTCGAGTATTTGTTGCGAAAGTGGGGGTCGGCTTGATAGCCGCGGATGAAGCTCTCCCGCAAGTCGTCGTCGATCTCGAAGGTAGAGCAGACTGCGGTGCAAAGATCCGGTCGCCATGAGAGGGCGTCCGCAAAACGGTTTGACTTCCCGGGAATGTGATCGGGGAAAAAGTCAAACTGGTCGATGAAAGCCATCCAACGGGCAATGGTACTGTTAATCATGTCTTGCGACTTGTAGAATACCAACGGATTGTTATCCGTTACCCATCGGAATGCTTTCCGACCAAGGAGGAAATGCTGCCAACGCTTGAGGGCATGGACGAAGGCAAGAAGCTCCTTCCGTGCGTCGTCGATCGAATGCACGGGAGGTACTTTCTTGCTAAAGTACTCGACCGGGTGCCARTCCGTGCCATCGTGCTGCTCAAGGACGGCCCCAATGCCATAGCCCSACGCATCGGTAGTGACGCGTGTAGCTAGAAGCGGGTCGTAAATATGTAACACCTCGGCGGACAAGAGTGTCGCTTTGAGTGTCTCAAAAGAATGGCGCGCGTTGTCGTCGAAGTCAAAAGGCCGCTCCTCGCTTTGTAACTTGCTTAGGTTGGCCGCGATCTTCGAGTAACCCTTGATGAAGCGCTGATAATAACCGGCCAAGCCGAGGAAGGATCGGACGTCCGTCACATTCTTCGGCTCGGGCCATTCCTGGATGGCTTGAATCTTGTCCGCCAACGGAATGCGTTCCGGAGAGACAAAATGACCCAAGTATTCAAGCTCTTGCCTGACAAACTCGCATTTGTCGCGGTTAGCTTTGTACAGGGCTAACCGAAGAGTCTCCAGAACACGGCTATAGACGAGGATGTCGTCTAAGTAGACCAAGACAAATCGGTCCAACATAGCACGAAACTCGGTGGTCATGGCCGCCCGAAAGGTGGCCGGGGCATTGGTGAGGCCAAAAGGCATAACTACCCACTCAAAATGCCCATATTGCGTCTTAAACGCGGTCTTGTACCGATCTTGCGGACGGATGAAAATCTGATGGTAGCCCGACTTGAGGTCCAACTTTGAAAAGTACTTGGCGCCGCCCAACTTCTCAAGCAAATCGTCAATGCGAGGTAGAGGCCCCGCGTTCTTGATGGTTTGCGCGTTGAGGCGTCGGTAGTCAATGCAAAGTCGAAGGTCCTTGTTCTTCTTCCGAACGAAGAGAACGGGCGCACCGTAAGGTGGGGCGGATCCAACCCTTGTCAAGTAGATCGTCGAGTTGCGCATTGAGAACCGTGAGCTCCTCCTCGGACATGCGATAAATGCATCCTTTCGGTGGCACGGCGCCAGCCTCCAGTATGATCTCGTGAGAGATCGGCCGGTCCGACACTATACCGGAGGGTGTCTCAAAAACATCCGAGAACTCGTCTTACAACCGGGTCACACGGGGGCCGGAAGACAAATCCGTGGACGACGGGTCGGTTGTCGGGACGGTTCGAAGAAAAGCGATGCCGATTTCTTCGACATGCTTGGAACGGCATGTGTCTCGAAAAGATTTGGCACTCACGACTTGGCACCGAATGGAAGAGCGAGGAGGAGGAATAGTACACGGGACCTCGGCGCCAATTGCATCACGAATCGTGAGCGTGCGTCGATGGAAATTGACCGTGTGGTCCGCGCTAGAAAGCCAAGGCATCCCCAAAATGACATCGAAGTCGGTGTCCAACACGTCAAAAGTTACGGGTTCACATGCGTGCGGTGCAAAGTACACCGTGACAGCCGAGATGTAACGGGCTAAGAGTTGTTTCGTCTTACCGTAGGCAAGAGCGACCGTCATCGGATGTGACTTCCTCCATACTTGTGCGCCAAGGCCAGCCCGAGTCATGAAGGACTGGCTRATGAAGTTGCGAGTTGCGCCGCAATCTAGCAAAGCGTTGCAGGCCGCTTGCCCAATCTGAATGCGAATGTAGAGCAACGGTGCGTTGTTTTCTGCGTACCGTTGCGAGACAAACTTGCGGGCCACCTTGGCAACATAGCCAAGCATATCCCCCACCGCGACTTCGTCTACCGTCGGCGAAGTTGGTGGTGCATGGAAGGAAAGATACTCGTGTAAGAGGGCGCATAGTGCTGCGCTTTGCGGCCCCGTAAGGTTGCCCGACGTAGGGAGAGTAACCCAAGCGAAATCCTCGGGCGTGAGCGGGTCCAAAGCCTCCTCGTTGAACACGCTTGCCGAATCCCTTGATGAAGACGAAATGGCGGAAGAACCTTCGGACGGTGAGAAAGCCGCACATGTATCCTTTCCTTGAGAAGCATCCAGTGAAGGAACGAGCCGGGCAGCGAAGTCTTCGAATGGAAGTGGAAGACTCTCGACATCCGCATATGCCTTGGAAGAAAGGGCGGTCGTGCGCACAACCGCTTCCGATGGCGTCGAGGGAGGTGTCGAGTCACCCTCGGCGGGGCCTACTTTCTCGAACGGGGTTTCTCCTTGGTGGGGCAATGTGCAGCATCGTGGATGGTGCTATTGCACCAAAGGCAATAACGGTACTTGAGTCTCGTGCGATAGCAATTCGCTGAGAGTCCGTATTGTGCCCAAGGTTCGTCGGCCGCTGATCCGGTGCTCGGTGTAGAGGTGGACTGAGTCTTCGTGTTGTCGCGGCCGTGATTGTTGCGCGGTCGGCCACCATCCCGGGCAGCTGCCAACACTTCACCCTCGTTTGGTGTTGCAGCCTCGGCATAAGAAGCCGGCGAAGTCGCCGCAATGCAAGCCACTTTTGGCTTGGGCTGGGTGCTCCTCGTCGTCGCGGAAGATCGGCCGGCGTTGCGGGCTTCTATATTCGTGAGAATGATCCGTGACACTGTGCTGAAGTGTCGAGTGTCTCTGCAATCTGCGTCAGCGCGTTTTGCAGAGCTGGACACGAGCGCATGATAAACAAGTGCTTGATGCCGCGGAATGCGAGCGGCAGGTCAGTTGTGGAGGCGAGTCTTTGGAACTCGGTAATCCAGTCCTGACTGAGCAGCGTGTTCTGGAGGAGCTTGTTGAGCTTGTCCATCGCTTGCAGGTCGGGCGGCTCCACTTGGAATCGCTTGTGCCAGGTGTCAGTCAACTCCTGCCAAGTGAGCCTGGTGTGCAGTTCCGACACTGCTACGCCGTGGCTGGTCAAGATGTTGTCCAGCCATGCTTGACATGCACCACCAGATCGGTGGTACAAGCACGGATGTCGATCGTTATTGGGACATGGTGCATGTCGAGCCTGAGAGTAAACTGGCGCCACCACGGGATCGGTTCCGTCTTGGACTGATCGCAGAAAACTGGAATGTCATCCAGTTTGGGTGGGCGCCGGGAGGATGCGGCCGCGGGCGTCACGGTGGCAGCAGCCTGGACCTGCGTCTCCAACTGCAAGTTCGTTGCTTGCTGTGACGTCCGGAAATCGTGATGCACACGCTTAATGTTGCTGACGTCATCCTCCAAGACTTGAACGCGGGTGGTAAGGTTGGAAGGCCCTGCGGCTGCTACAGCAGCTGGCTGTTTCTCCAACGCCTGCAGCTGTGTAAGCATCTGGTCCACTGTCTGCTGCAGGTGAAGGATTTGCTCCTGCTGCAGAGCGCAGGTGGCCACGAGGTCGTGGGAGATCTGCGCAACGGCGGACATCCCTTTGTCAGTCTCCGGGGCCCCGTCGGCAGATGCCATTTCCACCCAATGTGCGGTCTCATCGCCGATCACGGTCTCCCGCGTGAACAGTTGTTCCCGCTGGCGTGACCGGTGTTCGGCTGCTGCCTGCAGGTCTGCCTCCTCTTGACGAAGTCGGTCCTGTTCCTCCTTCCGTCGCTTGGCCTCCTCTTCTTGCTCAATCTGACTACGGTCCTTGGCCGCGGCGACGGTCCTATCGTTGGCCTCCTGGATGAAAGCAGCCAGGCGTTCCTCGTAGGCCAGGAGGGATTCTCCTGCCTTCCGGTCCATGGCCTTGGTCTGTGACCGAGTGAGCGGTGGCATGCACTGTCATGCCCGGGAGGGGGAGGAACAGGTAGGCAGCAGACAAGTGGGAAGGATCGGACAGATCCCAAATTGAACAGTTTCCTAATCAAATAAAATAAATCGAAAATTCGAAAAAAAGACTGTCCAATCCCACTGAGTACCGAAGGTGATGCAGAAAGCAAATGTGAACCTTCGGTGCTCGGACTGCAGAGAATCAGAAAAGAAGAATCTTTGCAACTCAGAGGAGTAGGTTGCAAAAAAGGAAAAAATGCTGTTTTTCTTTTTTTTTTTTTTTGAAAAGAGAATGGAATTTGCAGACCTACGCAGTGAAAGTGTAGAGGGCCATTTTCGGAAAAAGAATCGCGAACTTATCAAAATGCAGACATTTAACAATTAAACAAGGTAAAAAAAATTCTCGGAAAAAGAATTCTCAGAACGGAAAAAAAATTCTCGGAAACCAAATTTCTCGGAAAAATAATTTTTCGGAAAAGAAAAATAATTTCTCGAAAAAATTTTCTCGGAAAAAGAAATAATTTCTCGGAAAAAGATAACTAAATAATTAATTCCGGGAAATTCCCGAGATTAAAAAAAAAATTGCCAAATAATCAATCAACTTAATTAATCAATCAATCAATCAATCAATCAATCAATCAGTCAATCTCAGATGATTGCTGGTTGATTGATCGATTGTTCGATCAATCTCCTGATTGACTGATCAATCAATCGAAGATTGATTGGTGGCAATCGGCCAATCCAATCAATCAATCGATTGATTGGTTGTTGCCAAGATTCACCGCACTAGCTCCGATACCACTTGTAGCATATCAGAAAGTGAAATGCACTGAGAGCCTAGGATCTAGCAATGACGAAAGTGGCAACAACCAGCAGCATAGGTGCAACATTCACGAGATGTCAATGTGCACGATGCAAAGAGTGAACCAACAAGAAATCAACAACAACACCTTCGTATCATTATCATCATGGGCTGGGAAGCAGCGCAGCGGAAGATTTAGTATCAAAAGGACACGTGGACAACAACATGAAAGGGAGTTTGCCCT